TAGTGCCTATAATTTGCTGGACAAGTGTTCCCCAACTGACTTCATAAGGATTTGGTATCTAGCCAAGCAAAATAAAAAAGGGGAACCAGTACTCTTCAATCATTTGTAAGTAGGAAGCCAGACATTAGTCCAAAAATTAACTGCTCAAAATTCTTCCTTTTACCACTGGCCTTGCTAGTCTGAGTGGTATCAACTAGTTCTACATAGTTTATCCCCCTTGCTGCATTGTGCTTCCTATGTAATTCACAAAAACAGAAACTAAAATGGAAATTCTTCCGTTTATGTTTTGAGACAGTGATCACACTGCTTAATTAAGCAATGTTATGCTGAGCTTTTAAAGGAAGCTCAAATAGATTATAGAAACAAACTCAAAATAGTTTTCAAGAACACATTTCTTTTCATATGCCCATCTCTTTTAGATAGGTCAAACGAGGTGAACTTATTTCAAGTTTATAACCAAGAAAACGTAGCAGTTACAATATTCACTTGACAGACCTGGTAAACAATATGCATGAGATTTTCTGACAATCCAAGATGTTGTTCAACACATGCTTGTTCTTTATCATGGCTATTAGTCTCATCTGGATCCTTTTTCAAGAACCTGTCTCTTGAGCTCCATAAGCATCCTCGTGCAGATACAAGTGTCCCAAGCTACAAACAGAATCAATGAAGAAGAATTCCAGGTTCAAGAAAGACAGCAAGCTGATTGAACAGCCTAGTTTCAGTCTCGAGGGTGGGGGAATAAATCCCAATTATGCAGGATTAAATTAAGAAGATTAAAATGTAAGACTTTCCACCATTATGCCTATTTAAAGCCTGTATCCCATGATATTCATTATATAGCACCCTTCAGTTTACACTTTACAATACGGCTACTCAGAAAATACTAATACACCATCTAGGGTTTTAAATCAAGTATGAGCCCAAACGGCTAACATTACTTTGCAAGTCTACCATTCAAGAGGCAACACACCACGAGAGGATATCACCGATTCTGTATTCTGCTTTCGCTATTACGAGGTCAGGTTTGTCGTATTTATTCAGTTAAAATCGTCAGACTACAGATATATCTAACATAAAACTGCGCTGTAATTCATTGGAATACAAAGTAGAGGGAGGGATATACATACAGCAAAATAGACCATAACCAACGCAAAAGTCCACCTGGAAAACAAACAGCATAAGATTCTAGAATTACCACTTTACCTGTCTAAAATGGTTTTTATTTTACTTTTGATGGCACTGGAAACTGGAAAGGGCATCATTTGAACAGTTAAGCAATTTGCAGGTCTCTAGAATATTGAATTAATGGAGTAATAATACTTAGCCAACCAAAATGTAGGTAAGGAAATCAGTTTAAAAAAGGGGGTTAGTTTCTTACTGGGTATAGAAAAAGAAGACGAAGAATCCGAAAGTAGCAACAGTCTGATAAAGCAGGAACGCCATGGAAGCAAAGGCGAAAGCTCTGTAAAAAAGAAGCCAGCGAGGATGGAGGCCTCCCCAGCGGGGAACCCAGAAATGAGAGGGGTCGATAGGATCTTTACGGCGGCTCCTGAGGAATCTTAGTGCGATGGTGGCGGGGAGGATGAGGATGAGAGCACAAACTACAATTTGCCATCGAAGCCAGTACCCTATGCCCAGAGCGGCTTCTAAGTTCTCCATCAATTCTTCGACTGATTACTGATAGGGTGTAGCTAGAAGAAGGAGATTATATAATGAATAGAAAAAGAGATAAAATCAGAAACGAAATGTGAAGCGTGGGGTGGGGTTGTTGACTTGTTGAGATTTGGCAGGGAGTGGCTGAATTATACTATTCCATAGATTCCATAGACCATAGTTGCCTTCTTTTGTTTGAATTTTGCAGAAATGTTGGAACAATAGCTTTTCTGAAAGATTGTTTAGATGACTGTTATTCTCAACTCAACAAGCTCCCGTAGGTTCAACGGTAGCATAAGAAAATTGGTAAAAAAGATGGATTCATATGAATTTCAAGAGTAATTTGTTCCACCAAAAACATGGTAGACCAGCTCAGCCAATGAATACCTCTATTATCTCCCGAATTCTTGCTCCACCAAAACCGATTCATACATTTATCAATAGTGTCCCACACTGTAGTAGGAAACAAAAATACGGACATGGTGAAAATGGGCAACACTTTACAAAAGCACATCTTTGCCAGCTCTAGTCAAAAATCTTTTCTACCACATATTGATTCGATCTCTCATTCATTGTTCAATATATCAAAAGACCTGTGTCTTATTACAACCCAAAAATAGGGAAGGCCGAGATAACGTCCAAAATAAGTAGTTTTCCTCACCCCAAACATGATCGCCCAAGTACCGGAGACTCAATCTCTGGTCATTCTTTTAATTTTTCACTTCTATGATTAGTTGAACTGTCGTATAATATTTGATTTATCATAATTAATTTATTGAGCAAATACCAATTTTGGTCCCACGAGTATTAGCAAAATGACAGTTTTGGTCCACATGTTTAATTCCTACCAATTTTTATCCACGACTATTGTTTTAGTACCAATTTTCATCCACAACTATTATTTTAGTATGAAAATTCATCACATTAGTCATCCCTTCGTTTAAGACATGCCGAAATATGAAATTATTAAAGATAGTTTCGTACTTTTCAAATTAAGATCCCTATTTGAGCATGAATATAAGAATTTAAGCCCTAAGATCTATCCCAATTCGCAGTTTTCCTCCTCAAATAAGATAGGATGAAAAGGAGAACTGCGAATTGGGATCGATCGTAAGGCTTAAATTTATTTATTTATGCTCAAATTGGAATCTTAAGTTGAAAAGGACGAAAATGCCCTTAAAATTTTTAAATTTCGAGATGTCTTAAATAGATGAGTGACCGGCGTGATGAATTTTGGTACTAAAATAATAGTCGTGGATTAAAATTGGTATTAAAGCAATAGTCGTTGATGAACACTGGTAGGAATTAAACATGTGGACCAGAATTATCATTTTGCTAATACTCGTGGGACTAAAATTGGTATTTGCTCTTAATTTATTAGCTGACCCGAGGCATTGCAATAGAGCGATAGACAATTTTTTTTACCTCCGGAACCTCCTTATCGATTGCTTTGAAGAAGGAGACTATCAAGAGTAATTTGTTAACTAAGTTAATTACCAAAATGTTCTATCCTATAGTTTAGATTCAACAATATTTTTTCCAATAAACCTTGCGAGAGTATATACTTACAAGGTAAACTTCACGAGTATATGCACTAGCGAGGTGATTGCACTAGGAAGATCCAAATGTGACAAATTTGAATAAAAATCATGTTCCGCTCACTTGACCACTCCTTTTGAGCGTGTTTTTCCTTCAGTTATATCTTGACTTTGTAAAAAATGTGGACATATTAACACCCTTCGATTAATGTGAGAACACCCTTGTAAAATGTTTGGATATATCAACACCCTTGAATAATCAAAAATTGTGATCGTACGATTACTAATTAAGGTAAAAGTGTAGTTCATTATATTATATGAAGTAATATACAAAGACAACTCAAGGCATAATGTGCAATAAACCAAATATCACAATCACACTATTTTAACTAAAAGTGAGGGGGGGGGGGGGGGGGGGAATAATGAACTAATATTTATAGGGGTTTGACAACTACCTAATTAACTACTTAAGGTTTTCTTTTTTCAAAGATTTAAGCAATCTACTATACTCTGGTCATTTTCATTTTTGGTGGGCACCACAACCAATCTCAACGAATAACTCTTATTGATAAGTTTTATACCAAGACTTTTGCAAAGAGAAATCATGAAGTAAGCTATTCTAGAGCTAAACGTAACTAGAGACTGAAAGGGAAATGAAATGTATGTTTTTTGGGTGGAAAGAGTTTTCTTTAAAAAACAAGGCAAAAAGAATTTTAAATGTTGTAAGGGACTGGGCATGGGCACATGCACGGGCAGCAAAACAGAGTTCTTGCACAATTTGTTTGTCTTTTAGGCTATTTTCACCCCGAAATCTTAGAATTTGTCTTTATGATCTTCATGAAAGTTGTAGAACTCTGAGTTTGACTTTACAATGTCACAAGAATCACTTGATTTGGACATTCTTAGACTAAGATATGGTCAAAATACATAGAGGACGTCAATTTGGGCAAGAAATGCCACATTGCTTTCTTTTGATTTGTCATTGTATTGAATTGCCTATATAATGAAGGCCACTAAGGCACATGAAATAGTGTTGTTCAATCTTCTTTTCTTTATATTTTCTCACAAAAGTATCCTTATGCTACGATAACTTGAAAGTTTGATCAAATAGCTCAATGTTTGGTTCAAAACATCATTTTCTTGCCAAGTGACCTAAACACAAACAATAATAAATATAATTTAATAAGTGATAAAAATGGCTCAATAGGATAATTTGTAACAAGCAAAAACACTAAAAAGTGTAGGAAAAAGTAAGAGTTTTGGACACTTATCAATTATAACAAATAATATGTTCATTTTCAGGAAAATGAACCAAATAAAAAAAAATGTAATTTCTTAACTTTCCGCCAAACAGAAAAATATAGTTTTCTGACATTCATCCAAACACCAAAAAAAAAAAGAAGATATTTTTTGAAAAATGAGTCATTTTTTAAAAATCATTTTTTCAAAAAATATTTGCCGAGTTTCCAAACGGACCCTTAGTGCACCGCATACCATCACTTAGGGTCCGTTTGAAAATCAAGAAAATGACTTCTGGAAAATGAGTCATTTTCCGTAAAACATTTTTCCTTCTCGTGTTTGATAGCACAGTAGAAAACTATCTTTGTGTATTTGGTTTATTTTCTGAAAAATAAAGTACAATTGTATAATTAAATATTTTATATTATTAATTATTTTGTTTAAAATAAAAGTATTTATAAAGATATTTATTTTTTTGAAATCAAATAAAAATTGCCATCCTAGTTATTTATTTATTTATTTTAATAGACTAATTGTCTAATTCTATGTAGAAAGGCATGCAAAATGTGAGGCCGCTGTATGAAGCGCGCTGATTTAAAATTCAAACGGAGAGAGAAAAGAAGAGCAGCAGAGCAGACCGTTTGGCTGTTTGAGAGCCCAAATCCCAATTTGAAATTCCCAATCGGTCATGTAGTCCAGATTTCGCAGTTAGAGCTAAGGATAGCTCCTCTTTTACTCTTCCTCTCTACGCATGTATGCATTTTGTCACCTGTCGTCTTCTAGGATGTCAGATTTCTTGGTCAGCGACCAGCCATTAACTACATTTTAGATTTAACCTTTCTAATTTCGTGATTATATATAGTTGTTAAGAATCAGCGGCATTCAATTACTCATCCCACCAGCACAAGTTTGTTTCTTTTTTTCTCTGAATTGAATCCGTTGGCTAGAAATCTGTAAGGAAGATGATGAGACGCCATGGATGGCAGCGTCCTCTTCACCCTTTACAGGTAAATTTGGCTTCCAGGCATGCCCTCCACTTACCCTACTTTAAAGTTTGTGACTTTCATATATTCGGAGCTCCATTATCTTATTAACAGCGAGTAAACACCTTCTTTACCCTAACAAATGTTTCTATTTCTTTGTTGCCAAATCAGTTAGCAACATTGATTGTTTATGAACTCTGATCTAGTTGTTTAACGGTTCGTGTAGAAACATAGAATTGAAGCTATTGGTTTTTGATAAATGCTTAAATATTACTGCAAACGTTTATGAACTGTAAAGCAGTGGAAGCCTTGTGGTTTTGAGCTCTGATTTTGTTTGCAACTGACTGCAGATAGTGGGCATGTCTGTCTTCATTTTCCTCGTCGCGGCATTTTATTGCTTTCTGGGCCTTTTCCTTGGCAACAGGGTTGCTGAAATCACCATCACTAGCATTTTCTCCTTTGTGGTAATTTGATTACTAAGTCAATACCAAGAACACACACACACAAATACCATTCTACTTTACTTAGCTTCACCCTTGGTGGCCAAGCACCTTGTGCTCAGATGGCATGTAGTGACTCTCCCATATAGGAGGTCATGAGATCGAAAGTATGTTTGAACAGATACTACTATGTAATAGAGTCAGTAGCATTAAAAAAAAAGAAGCTTCACCCTTGGTGCTCAATCTTCACTCTTAGTGGGTGGGGGATTAAGTGAAAACAAGAGAGATATAATTCCCTTTCTTATGGCTCTGCAGGCATTTTCAGCTGCATTCCTATTCATTAGGTGTGCAGCTATTAATCCTACGGATAGGACCAGATTTAGGAAGAAGATCAAAGGGAAGTCCACCGCATTTTCTAAGCTGAATTATGGGGCCCTATTGGTTCAAATTGTCATGAGGTTTTTCAGGAAGGTAGAACGCAGAATCCTTAGGACTTGTATAAGGAGAAACTACCTTAATCCCTGGAAAAGTAGCCTTCAAATGGAGCCCCTATTCCCATTTCCCCTTGTTATGGATGATTCAGTTGCTCCTGAGATCAGAGAGGATGACATTTCATTTTGTTTACTCTGTGATTTTGAGGTTTGTTTATATGACACTTTTGTTTACTACTTTCTTCTTGATTAGCATGTGGGAACATGTATGAAAATTAAAGTCCCTATACTTATGGACTGGACCACTTGCAGGTGAAAAAGCACAGCAAGCACTGTAGAACCTGTAATCGCTGTGTTGAGGGGTTTGATCATCACTGCAGGGTAACAAAATAAGTCTTTGTCCCCAATAAACGTTCCTCTTCCCTTATTAGTTGTGCCTAACTATGGCCATATCTTGTATTTGTGTATTTGCAGTGGTTAAACAACTGTGTAGGGAAAAAGAACTACACGACGTTCATTCTGCTCATGGTTTTTGTCTTGATAATGGTTAACCGATTTCTTTACTAAAACTACATCTCTGTCCATGATTACATATTGCTAATCTATGGTTTTCATTCCCTAAATGAGTCCCTGGTAATGCAGCTCACACTTGAAGGAGGAAGTGCTGTTGCTATATTTGTCAGGTGCTTTGTTAATAGGAAAGGGATAGAAGAAGAGCTTGAGAGGAGACTCCACGTAAAGTTCCCAAGAGGACTTCTGGCAGCTATATCTGTAATTCTTTAGATTACCCTAACATTTTCCACATAAGGATGAATCTTCGTTCTACCAGACAAGTAATCTATGCTTATTTCAGGTTTTGTTGTTTTTGATGACGGCATATAGTGCAGCAGCACTGGGGCAACTTTTCTTCTTCCATTTGGTTCTCATTCGAAAGGTATCTACTATTTTGTCTTTTCCATTTGTGTTGCCTCTGATTCTGAACTCAAAATGTATGTGCAAAGTGCTGTTTTTCTTTCCATTTTGGGTTTGTGGAGTCCTGATGTCTCTGATGCAAATATCAATTTGCCTGCCTTTCACTGTTTTAGTGTAGAAATGCTTGAACTAGGAAACCAGACAACCCAAGTGATCTAAAGGGTTAATGTTAAAAGTCCCACGTTGAAAATATAAGAAAGAACATATGGGTTTATAAGGCCATTGGGTTAAACTAGCTAATTGGTTGAATTCAATCTTTTAGTGTGGTTTGACCTGCATTATAGTTCAATCGAGTGACCTTACCTCGATCTTAATACATGACAGAATTTAAGGCTGCCTGCAATTGTAAAAGTTTGGTAACATTATAAATCAGATATCTGCAAATATAGTTTTTGGTTTGCATGATGAGGGTCAGTCATGTTTTCTGTTAACTAGGACAACTCTAATTTTTGCTTGCTATCTCCCAAAAATAAATTTGGAAGCAGTTGAAACAAGATACTTGAGCCAATATTTGTATGTACCAAATCTGAAAGTAGTTATGATTACCTTGATAAGGGGATGAGAACCTATGACTACATTTTGGCAATGAAAGAGGAGAACCAATCCATGGATCTGGAGTCACAGGAAGATTCAGATTCTTCTTCAGATGAGAGTTCAGACTTTGGTTCGCCTGAGAAACAATCATTTAGCTCGCGTCTTAAATGCGCAGAAGGAAGAATAAAAAGCCAGGTACAGTACCTGTCTCTTAGTCCATATCTTTTTCCATACTGTTGGGGGAGGCCGATAAAAGGCCAAGTCTAGACTGTGTAGTACCAAGTGACTAGGAGAATTGTTGATCGAAGACTGTTGAAGGGTCAAGTCTAGCATTAGGTGGCTAAGCGATTGTTGGACGGAGGTCGGTGAAAGGCCAAGTCCAGTACCAAGTGATTAGGGGAAATTGTTGGGGGGAAGTCGGGCCAAGTTCAGTACTAGGTGGTTAGATGATTATTGGGCATAGGCATGAACTTCTCGAAAATGTAGTGGTATAAGGAAATAAAGTTGTGCCTTTTCCATACGGTTGGGCGAAGGGCCAAGTCCAGTAATTGTTGGGTAGAGGCCGGGCCAAGTCTAGCACCACTAGGGTGGCTAGGGGTTTGCTGAGCGGAGGTTTGAACGACTCGTCCTGAGCAGGCCTAACTGTAGGAGCCAGGAGGCACCTTTAAACCCGTAACATACTCAGATTAATCCCCGTTTGCACTGGGTCGGCCCAATTAAGGGACAAAGTACTGACCAGATTAGTTTTTCCATACAAGAGAGGGTTCGAACTCCCGACCTCTCTTAAGGGACAAGAGTGCACGGCAACTCACGCCAACCAAACTGTTTAAGTTATGCTTTTTTTATTAGCTACAACGTTTGGCATAATAGTAAAGACTTAACCTTAACACATAGTCATTGCTTAACTTTAAGACTGAAGATACCAGGTACTTTTGATATGCATTTGCAGAACCCACACAGATTATCCATAAGAATCGATGGAGAATCCGAATCATCCACACTGATGAAAAAGCAAGGATTTCGTGCAAGCATCAACCCATGGAAGCTGATAAAAATGAGCAAAGAGAAAGCCATGGCAGCAGCAGATAAGGCAAGGGAAAGGCTCCTGAAGCAGAAAGACAATGAGTTGATGAACCTGAAGCCACTCCCTCTAGAAACAAAAAGTGGGCCACTGATGAAAAACCACAAAGATGAAGACACCGCAGCACCCATCATCTCCAAACCACCATTCCCAAGCCCAAGGAGAAGATTCTCATACTCTCCAACACTTAGTGGCACTGTGCCATCGCCACAACAGAGGTATAGAAGCAACTTTGATCTGAAGCTCACACAGGTCTCAACAGAACTGGAGACTTACATTTCAAGGCAGGTATTGTGCTCCGTTTTGACCAAAGATGAGGCTGCAGCCACAACCCCAAGATAGCAGAGCAGTAATGAAGGAGAGTTGATTAATTAATAGTTTTATTTATTTGTGTTGAATTTACATGTACAATACTCACAGCTCACTAACAGGTTGCTTTAAACCATTTTAGTGAATAGTTGCATCGGTCTACAAGATGGGGACAGGACTTGAATCCTATTCATTGCCCCGACATGGTTGATGAGCATCTCCAAGAGTTTAATTTTTGAGTTGTTTTTTTCAGTGCCAAATAGGAAAAAGAGTGAAGAGAGAAATGGATGCAGTGCATGCAATTGTTATGCCGTGAAATTAAGGTGGACACGGTTCTATGTTCATAATTACTGAACTTTATGTTCATAATTATAAAATTCTATGTTCATAATTTTTAAATTTCATATTCACAATTATTGAACTCTATATTCACAATTATAGAATTTTATGTTCACAATTATTGAACTCTATGTTAATAATTACTGAACTTTATGTTCATAATTATTGAACTTTATGTTCATAATTTTTGAATTTTATATTCACAATTACAAAACTCTATGTTTATAATTAAAAAACGCTATGTTCATAATTTTTGAACTCAATATTTACAATTATGACAGTTTTAGAATCGTGTCTACCTTGCAAGGTAGACACGGTTTCACAGCATAATTTGCCCCGTGCATGCGGGTTACGTGTATGTTGGGTCACTTGGATGTTGTAGGTGTGCCCAATTGCACCTGCAAAAATATTAACATTTGCAGAAAAAAAACCCATAAAGCCTTCTCCTCTCACATTTCTCCTTAACTTAAGCCATAAAGCCTGACAAAACCCCCCCTAAAAATTTATTGGTGGAGATGCAAGAAAAAAGTCCCTTAAAATAGTGTGAATTAATTTTATTTTAACTCTTTGATTATATTGATATTTTTATTTTGTGTCCTTGAGGTTGATTTTTTCAAATGTACTAAGGGTTCTACTCTTAAAGTGAATTTTAGTGTAAAAATTAGTGTATAGTAGTAAAAACTGGTCATTTATGTCATCGATCAGGGTTCACATAGCATTATGAACCTTGAATTGAAATGATGCAGTAAATAATTCATACTTGTAAGTATAAAATTTCATAATACAAGACACAAAAAATTATAACACAAGACACTTACACATGTTATATATTTATTTATTTTTCAAATCTGATTTGGGTACATAATTTGTGTTTATAGGTACAAAATTTCACAACAGGATACAAAATTCTAACACAAGACACAATTACTAATTTGTTTCAAGTACAGAATCCAAACTCTTAAAAGTACAGAATTTTATAACACCACAATATAAGACACATACACATGTACCAGGCCATAGTGCACTATGAATCCTGGTCCATGGTATAAGGGTTGGTAAAAATTAAGTACTGATTTCATTGGGCATATTGTGTTGATATACACACTTGCAGAATGAGACAAATCGGGAGCGTTATGGCGTCTAACTTAAAAAAAAAAAAAAAATTCAGAATTGCATAACTACACATCCATAATTTCACTACACTTCCATAATTTTATAACTATACATCAAGAATTGCATAACTACACTTCCAGAATTGCATAACTACACTTCCAAAATTGCATAACTATAATTCCAGAATTGTATAACTACACATCCATAATTTCATAACTACACTTCCAGAATTTCATAACTAAAAAATCCAAAATGAACGAACTAAAAATGAATAACATAATGTTGTTGCTGGGAATCGAAACTGATTTTTTTTTTTTTTTAAAGTAGGGCGCGGGTTTTATGCAAAACGATGTCGTTTTTGCATCCGTATGCACCATGCAGGGTGCATACGGATGCACAACATAATTTGCCGACAAATTGGAATTTTTTTATTTTTTAATTTTAGAAATATTCATGGTCATCCAATTAAAATGGTAATCAGGATGCATCACACTACAAGGTAGTTAGCAAATTGGGTTATTTTTAACTTCTTACAAACTCAACTAATTCAGATAAGCAATTTAAATTTTAGTTTCATATATAGTGATATTTTTGAATTACTGAATAACTAATTGTGAATATTGAATTTTTAAAATCCATTAAATTGACTAAATTATATATAGAGTAAATACCTAAAATGATCCCTCGACTATAGCTAAATTCACAAATTGGTCCTCAACTTTCAATTTCACCCAATTAAGTCCTTAACTTTGCAATTTTGACACGATTTGGTCCTTCATCTAATTGACCGTTTGTTGACCGTGATCGACGATCTCCAGAAGAACCTTCAGCTCTCGTCGGAGCACGTGGAGGCCTCCAGGATTACGTTGCACCGGTTCGGAAACACGTCTTCTTCTTCACTCTGGTGCGAATTCAACTACATTGAATCCAAAGGGAGGATGAAGAAAGGTGATCGGGTTTGGTAGATTGTTTTCGACAGTGGATTCAAATGTAACAGTGCGGTCTGGAAATGCAACCGGAACCTTAAAAAATCGACGATGGACCATGAAATTACATATATATCCTCAAAAATCACAGTCAACAAATGGTCAAATAGACAGAGGACCAAATTGTGTTAAAATTACAAAGTTAAGGACTTAATTGGGTGAAATTGAAAGTTGAGAATCAATTTGTAAATTTTGCTATAGTCGATGGACCATTTTAGGTATTTACTCTTATATATAATTAGGCCAATTAATTTGTTAGAAATTCATGGACTTCTCTATCTCTATATATATTAAAACAAAATGATAGCCACAAAATTTTTTCCCAAAATTTAGGAACATATTTATTAAATCAAACTAATAATTAAATTTAGAAATGATTTTATAATAAATAATAAATTTGAAAATACCATCATTATTTGACTGTAATAATGATGTAATGATAAAATCACAGAAACTGTTTTTTTTTAAAAAAAAAAAATAAAAAATCACGAAACTTCTTTTCCTTTTGCATTAATTCTCATATGCTGGCAATCCTAAATCCTAAATCCTAAATCAAACTAATAATTATTTTTTTGGATGAATAATAAATAAATTTGTAATAATGATTTTAAAACTATTATTATTCTTTTCCTTTTTTATAAAAGCAGCCCTCAATTATTTTCATTCAAATAAAGTTACAAATATACATGTTTCTGCCGTGATATATACTAATACATGATAAGATGTAGGAATCGCGTTTTATGCACTAACTGATATAAATTACTATTATTATATTTTTCTTAGTTACGTTCTTATTTTCTTTGCGTTGATTACAGAAGTAATCTGACTTTTGGTTTGTTACGTTATTTTCTTCTAATGGTGTCGATTAGTGCTGGTTTTGACTGTTATGAAGCCAATACTCAAATCCTCACTGTATAGGCCGAATGTCTATTCCCTTTTTGACGTAATTATGGGATCGCCATAACTACTCCGTAATAATAATAATAATAATAATAATAATAATAATAATAATAATAATAATAATAATAATAATAATAATAATAATAATAATAATAATAATAATAATAATAATAATAATAATAATAATAAAAAAAAAATAATAATAATAATAATAATAATAATAATAATAATAATAATAATAATAATAATAATAATAATAATAATAATAATAATAATAATAATAATAATAATAATAATAATAATAATAATAATAATAATAATAATAATAATAATAATAATAATAATAATAATAATAATAATAATAATAATAATAATAATAATAATAATAATAATAATAATAATAATAATAATAATAATAATAATAATAATAATAATAATAATAATAATAATAATAATAATAATAATAATAATAATAATAATAATAATAATAATAATAATAATAATAATAATAATAATAATAATAATAATAATAATAATAATAATAATAATAATAATAAATAATAATAATAATAATAATAATAAATAATAATAATAATAATAATAATAATAATAATAATAATAATAATAATAATAATAATAATAATAATAATAATAATAATAATAATAATAATAATAATAATAATAATAATAATAATAATAATAATAATAATAATATAATAATAATAATAATAATAATAATAATAATAATAATAATAATAATAAATAATAATAATAATAATAATAATAATAATAATAATAATAATAATAATAATAATAATAATAATAATAATAATAATAATAATAATAATAATAATAATAATAATAATAATAATAATAATAATAATAATAATAATAATAATAATAATAATAATAATAATAATAATAATACTCGGTAACCAGGACTATGTGGTCTAATGGTACCCGGGTTGGATTTCCATTTGGAAGATTATGATTTCAAGCCTAAAGTATATGAACAGATACTACAATGTAATAGAGCCAGTAACTTTCAAAACAAATAATAATAATCCAAAACTCTTAATATAATTTTCCTTTTTTTTTTTTTTTTTTTTTTTTTTTTTGACAAAACCAAAGCTTCATGAAATCAACCTCGAAATATAACCCACACACCAAGGATGATGATGATGATCCAAAACTCTTAATACAAGTTTCTAATAATGTAATATAATTTCCTTAGTAATCTAAAACTCTTAATCTAAGTTCCTAATATAATTTCTCTTATATAATTTTTCTACTCTTAATACAAGTTTCTAATAATGTAATATAATTTCCTTAGTAATCTAAAACTCTTAATCTAAGTTCCTAATATAATTTCTCTTATATAATTTTTTTATCATATTTTAATTACATATGATTACCATAATAAACAATGTAATTACCATAGGTTTATTATGGTAAACATATGATTACCATATCGGTTTATTATGGTAATCATATGTAATTACTATATACTCTTTACCATCTAAATTTATTATGGTAATTAAACATGGAGAATCTCTTCTTACAAACTTTTTTTTTTTTTTTTTTTACTTCAAATAATAGCAATTACCTGTGCCCTTCATTTGATTACTTTTGAATAAAATCTTGATTATAATTACCATAATAATTATTAGTCTATTATATATATATATATATATATATATATATATATATATATATATATATATATATATATATACATATATATATTATACTTAAGGTATAATACTATGGGAACAAAATAAATTATCATTCTTATTCTTTAGTGTAATTGCTATTTATGATAATCTCTCTTTATATATTTTTATATTTAAATATAAAAGTATAATTGCACAATATTAATATAATTACGTACTAATTATTATAGTAGTTAAATAATGAATTGCATAGATATTAGTATAACTGACTAATAAATATTATGTTAATAATTAAATATATATTAGTATAATTACAATTAAACATGGATCATTAAATTTATTTTTATAATAATTACAGTTAATTCATTCAGATATGGAGGAGGAGAAAAAAAAAAGTAATGGCGGTAATGGTGAAAATGAATATAGTTAAGGTATAAAACTATAATAATTGTCTAATAATTATTATGGTAATTAAGATTAACATGGGTCGTTGGATTGATTTTAATAATAATTACAATTAAATTATTTTCCTCTTTTCTCATATTTATTTTAGTAAATATAATTACATAAATCATATTATATATTAAAAATTTTCAAGATGTATAGTTATGAAGTTATGGATGTGTAAATAGAAAAAATGATTGGTGGAGTTAAACGGTACCACTAACGGCACTGTTACTCCATAATAGTGAAACGACGTCATTTGCAACCGTGTGTACCATGTATGGTGCACACGGTTGCACAACATAACAATTTTATATTTGGCCTATGATAACATATATTTATATTTATAATATATATAGAATAACTTAGTCAATCATATTATTCGAATATTCAAAATGGTGGATAATTTCACTAGTTAAAGGACTAAACTACTTTTGAATTTCCTTTAAAAAAAAGTATTTTTGAATTTAAAGTTCAATGTAAGGCATGAATGATATTTTCTCTACTATAACTCTATAAGTAGATGCCAACAATATAAAAAAAAAAAATGCAACACATCGATACATAACTGTAAAACTTGGAAGACATTCAATCTAGATAAGGCATCCAATCTTTGCTGTTTAAGAATCTACAAATCTAATAAGAGCGAATAATGTTAGGCCCTTAACTGGAACAAAAAAAATGTCGGTACTAATTGTTTCTTAAAATGAATGGTTCATATTATTGTGATTTTAGTATCTTTTAATGATTTTCCTTATTTACCCTCTATTATATTATTTTCTTCCATTAAATAACCCTAAATTCCGTTAGTTTAAACTTTAGTAACGGAATATTCCGTTAACTATTTATTATTCTTAACATACTCTTAATTATATAAGGTCTTAGGTTCGAACCTCATCCCAAGTATAATTGACATAATTGTTAAACATATATTATGAATATGTTAAAATGTATTAAAAAATATATATAATATAAAATTTAACATAAACTTTGGTCAAATAATTAGCTCGACTAAATACATAGCATTAAAAGTTAAGCATCAAATATTATAAATCAGGAACTACTTTAAAATTATTTGATTTTCTTGAATTTTTTTATTAAAAAAAAAAACAAATTTATGTTAAGTTTTTTTTTTTTTTTTAATTAATCTTCTTCTGATTATTTAGAACAAAACTTTTTTTTTTGAAAGGTCAACCCATGGGTTGTATTTATAGATAAGCTGAAATAGCGTCTGATTATTTAGAACAAAACTTAATATTTCAATTATGCTTTTGCATTTTTGGAATGATTTAGGCCATTATGGTATTAATATTTTTTTGTATTTTTTTTATAATGGTACAACTGTACATTACATTACTAATATTATACTATTATTTTTTTATCGGACAAAATTGTTTTACATCATTGTCAGACCTGCGCGGCCTAACTACAAAGTTGTTGATCATAAATACAATTACACATGGACTCTAAAACGGTAGGATCATTTTTCAAATAATTGACAATGTTAACATCCTACTAGCTCCAATTGAACAAGTTTATACATCAAAATTTTATCAATCCATGAAAACTTCTAAAAAAATTTGTAAGTTAATTTTTACTATATCATTATATTAATATCTATTGTAATCATATATTTTGAATTATTTATTATCATCCCCTATTAACAGCAATTGTAGCAATTGTTATGGACAAACTCACAAAACAATTTGTCTCAAATTTAAAAAAAAAAAAATCATTGATTTCATTATTGTTGAAGAAAAGTATGTACGACACTTTATTACTCTTATTAATTAAATAAATTAGTAGCTACAACAAAAAATAATACATATGCATTTAATTAATTTAGAATTAGATGTCTATAATGCTTTATTTAAAAAAAAATTCATTATAAAAAATTTAAAAGAAATATAATTTTATTAGTTATATTATCTTTATTTTCTACAATTCAAAGATTCCTTACCTTCAAATTTATTAATTTATTATATTCACTACATTGTTCATTGTCTTCTTTTTTTACATTATCTTGTAATTAAATATCAAAGTTATAATACAAAACATGTTATATATATATATATATATATATATATATATATATATATATATATATATATATATATATATTTGTTTATTTATTTATTTATTTACCAAGTATTTTATACAAATATAATAAATATTAATATTTCGTTCAATACTTTCACATGATAACCTGCGACGCACATCTCACAACACATGAAACATGTAGAAAAAAAAACTACCACTACTAAATATCAATAGGTGTTTGTACGCTAAAGAATTCATATTACAACTAAAATCTCAGTCATATACACAGCAAGGTAAATCTAAAACTTCCTACACCATAATCTCATTGCATGATGAATCCCTCTATGCTGCTACCAATAATCTAATTGCACATGAAACACTACCAATAAAAAAAAACAAAAAAACAAAAAAAAAAAAAGAAAAAAAGAGGACATGTATTGAATATGAAAACAATAACAATGCTACCCAAAAAAGAATTAAGAAGAATTAGAGAAATTTAAACCAAAAGTAGTATTTATTTAGACTATCGCTTAAAAATTAAGTATTTAGACTAGCGTTATTACAAAGTTGCAAACATTTATTTTAGTGACAATTATAATCAATCTCTCATATATTATCTTGCATTTATATACTTTAAATTACCGATTTAAATAAACAAATTCAACATTTATTTACTTATGCATGAACATCTCCTATATAATATTGCATTGATATACTTTGGAATACTTATTTAAAAATAATTATTGAGCATTATCTCATTCGCACAAAGTGCGTAAAAAAACTAGTAAATGAATAAGGTTCAAATTGGCCACTGAACGTAACCTGAAAATGCAATTAGGCCACTGAACGAAAAAAAGTGCAATTAGGCCACTGAACACTCTAAAAATGTGCAATTTCACCTGATAGCAGGTTACCCTCAATTTTAGCAGGTTATCTGCTTACGTGGCAGCTGAGTTGGCATTTTTAATAAATTTTAATAATAACTTTTTATTAAAAAAAAAACGATTTTATTTTATTTTTTATTTAATTGGCCAGGTTACGTTCAGTGGCCAATAAGAAAACAAATCAATCAAATCACACTAGAGACATAAGGGAGGCACAACGGCGTAGCGGCTGGCCTAAGGCACCCATCTCCGCGAGGCAGCTGACCTTAATCAATTTTAAGGTTTCAATGCAATAAATTAGTTAGTGAGTGTTCAATTGCACTTTTTAAAAGTTTGAAGGACTAGTTACAACTTTGTATAAAATTGTAGAACTTATTTGACATTTTTTTCTGGACTTTGGCAAAGTCAATTTATTTGGTTGCTTATTGATATAGTCCTAAGAGACGGCTGGCTAAGTGACTCACCGTTCGTACACTCTTGACTCTCCAACACAATTTATGATATTGATTGTCAATAGGGGCGGCGGGCTGAGGAACAAATGCCTAGGAAAATATATCCCCATATGGTCGGAATGGATTTGAACCGTCTATGTTACATCATTTGTATATTTTCGTTCATAAATTTAATTTTTTTTTACAATTAATTTATCTTAATGTACTTGAAAAAATATTATGAACATATTGAAGGGTGTTTAGTAAATAGATGTTAGTTGATTTGGTTAATGAATTTAATTAGTTGATTGTAGAAAGATGTTTGGTAAATTAACTGTTCTAATAGTTGATTGCTTGTAAAATGACTTTCTCAAAAAATTGTTTTAAACAAATTTTTGAATTTTAGCATTTTGGAATAATAAGCTGTTACAAAATGCTAATTAATCAAACATTTATATTGGTTGTGTAATTAAGTCAAACAAGTCAAAATTGAGATAAGCTAACCCAATATTTTTTACCAAAAAAAACAAGGCCAATATTTTATTATCATTTTCCATATTTACCAATTATTGCATATATTCCTAATATAGAAAAAATATTCTAAAGATAAACAAAAGTATTACAATTACAATAATAATAATAATAATTAAAATCGTAATGATCAGCTATAAAATACGGAGCAATATCGTAATTATTAATTTTATCATTTCTTTCGTTTTAAAAACCCTTCTGAGTCCCTTCAAAAAAAAAAAAAAAAAAACCTTCTACTAGCTACATGTATAATATTTTTATTTAAAAAATTTTATCTGCTATTATTTTTTAAAATTATATTAATATAATATTATAATCATAATTTGCACATCAAACACTAATATTGAGAAAGAGAGAAATTGGGAGAAGATCAGAGAAGTTTATTATTTTATTATCATCACATGGAAAAGGTCATACTGAAACATAAACACAACAAGATCAAGAAGAAGTACAAAAGGAGAATATAAAATATAAATGACTAACATAGCCTTCCCCCTGTCGTTCTCAAATAGGAACAGAGGGGTCCACAGCATCAAACTTTATTTCCTGTAATAGAGGACTATAAACTAAATATCCTCTGTATGTTTGCCGGTGTGATCTTTCCAAGTAATCGGACTATAAAATAGTTGTCTGAGAAGTTAGAATGATCATCATTGGTAGAAGTGATAAGTTTTGGCAGATTTGACAATACTCCACAATCCACCGATAGGAGCCAGAATCGTCAACAAAATACCAATCACAATAAATGTCTGAAATTTGCCCAAAAAAAACGCAATTATTAGTTCATATTAATTTAATAAAAAATACAATCATTTCTAGAAAATAGAGAATAACGTACCCAATTCATACACCAAGATAATCCAAACTTCTTAGGTTTCATGAGAATTAGCCACATGATGCAAGGAATCTGCGATCAATTAATAATTAAAAAAATTAAATATATATGGCATGTGAAATTAAAGTAAGGTTTTGACTTTGTTTATTTCAAATAAAATTTGGCTTACATAGTATGTGGTTGGAGCGAACGCAAAGCCACCAAAAAATCCAAGTAGACCGCCAAAGAAAGGCACTGATATGCCCACAAAGAGTGTGAACGCTGCCATTCCGGGAAAATAAAAGGGTGAGAAACAAATTCTTCTCCCTATACTAACATAATATTTGTATATATGGCAATGGGTCGGCTGGGTCAAAGAGGACTGTATCATTTGACCCACTTTATATACCCTCACTTTTAACCTGGTGAACTTTTTCAGAATTCACCCATCCCACCCTTTTTCAGGATTCACCCATCCCACCGTGTGTGGGTGAGAGTGGATTCAAGTGGTGGATATCAGCGGAGCTGATTGAAATATGTGTGTGTATATAAAAATATATATTTAGAAGTACACGTACCAACAAATAGGTTCCTAGTTACAAACCGAAGGGTTTTGGTGGGCTTGAATTTCAAGGTCTTGACACAAAATGTTTCAATCATATCAAACATAAGCATGGCATAGACCTGCATCCAAAATAATCGTCTTTAGGTAAACCGTTAAATAACATATTTTGCAATTAAAGTAATGGATAGGTGGTGGATATAGACTGATCAATTTTTAATAACAAACCAAAATAGTTATGATCAAATAAACTGAAATCGAAAACCGAAAATCGAAATGCCCACCCGATCTGAATAGAATTGAAGAGGTGTGTTTGTGTGTATACCTGGTAGCTTCCGACAACATGGACAACCACAAAAATGTTAGCAGCAGCGATGAGCCAAACGGGCTTTTCGAGGGTGAGAAGGATGTTGTCGCTGACTTGGTTGCCCAAGGCGAGGTAGCCAATGAAGGCAACGGGCCAATAACACATAGCCACAACTACATAAGCAATAACCACACCTTTCCACATGGCCTTCTTGGAAGGGTTGTCAGGGGTGGAGGGGATAGTCGCCTGGATCTCCAAAACCACATTATGCCCGGCGTACGAGAACGCCATGTCCCCCAAAGCGCTCATGAACATGAACACATTGTCCGTCTTTTTATGCGACCTCGGCCCGTAGTCCACCGCGTGCGACTCGATCCACTTGTGCAGCGCCGACCCCCAGGCGATGGTGGAGTAGGAGACCGACATGATCGCCGCGAGGAGGGAGACGAAGGAGATGGAGTTGAAGTTGGGGAGGAAGGAGGCTATGAATTGGCCGACGGAGAAGATGAGGATGTAGTAGGAGAGCTTGATGGGCTTGCAGTCATGGCAGAGAAGCTCGACGACTTTCTTGATTGAGGAGCCGCCGGTGACCATGTAGATGATGCAGAGACTGATCTCCACTAGAGCCTGTTGGGGCACCACGATCCAGAGCCCTAGTTTCGGCCCGAACGCCGCCTGTCCTAGCTCGTGGTACCGGTCGAATCTCTTCCCGGGTACACACTCGTGCATCTCCACCATCTGGTAGAGCGTGTATAGTGTTATCGCCCATGATAGTATCATCATTGCCACTCCAGGTCCCCTGTTTATTCATACATCTCAGGTTAGGATCAAACGCTTACCAGCTAAACTTGTCTTCTACCCATTAATCCGTCGTAGTCATTAGATGCTAGACTTAAAATTCTGCACCTCCGTTCATCCATCAATGGGTGCTAGACTTGGCCTTATCGGCCTCCGCCCAACAATTTTCAGTCACTAGAGCAAAAAATCCAATCACAAGGACAAACAACCCAATCACTAGGTGTTAGACTGACCTCCTTATAGGCCTCCGCCCAACAAACAATTTCCAGTCACTAGGGCAAAAAACCAATCACGAGGTACTAGGGCAAACAACCCAATCACTGGGTGCTAGACTTGGCCCCCTTATCGGCCTCCGTCCAACAATTTTAGTCACTAGGGCAAAAACCCAATCACGATGTGCTAGGGCAAACAACTCAATCACGAGGTGCTAGGACAAACAACCTTATCAGTCTCCGCCCACCAATTTCTAACCACTTGGACTGACAATTTCAGTCAATGAGTACTAAATTTGGCCTTTATCATTTATTGGCCTCTGCTCAACCATCTGGTCTAAACCGGCCTCTACCCAAACATTTTCAAGTCTAGACTTGATCTTTGGCATTGGTCCAACAATTCCCCCCTCAACACCAACTATTACATACATGCATGTATTGAAAATTTCAACTCTAATCTAATAATTTCAATCGATTCATATCAGATCAGAGAAACTAAGTGATAGATAGATACATACCATCCCATCTCGGACATGGCGTAAGGGAGGCTAAGAATTCCGGCGCCGACCATGGCGGTGACATTGTGGAAGGTGGAATACCACCACTTCCCAGAACGTTGGGAGCCCACCGGAAGCCAATCATCCACCTCTCCCTTATTGGCCGCCGGCTTAGCCCCCTCGGCTTTGTAATCCCCCATCTCCAGTTCTCTGTCAAATCCCATCTTGAAGGCCGGGGTTCTGTATTTATTTATTTATATATATAAGTATATATTTTTTTTTTATTTACAAAATGTAACAGAAATGTGTAGTTTATATGAAAGATCTAATGAAAACACTAGCAAAGAAAGAGGTTGAGTTTGGAATGAACCCTCTTCTCCGCTTAAATACTCAAAGCTCTCTGTAACAACGACTCACTCTGATCGTTTTCCCGATCGCCTTTGGTGGTATACCTGTTTTATCTCTGCCGGATAAATAGTCGTTTGACTTTTGTCCCGTCTAAATCTACATCAGATAAATTAATCATATATTAATATAATATTTCACTCTCATCTCTTACCTATACTCTCTCATATGATTGTCTACGGTTTTAAAAGATAAAAGTATACTATTTAAACACAATTTTTTTTATTCAAGTATTTTGTCCGTTAATGCCACATATAGTATAGTAGATTTTTTTTATTCAAGTATTTTGTCCGTTAATGCCACATATAGTATAGTAGATTTTTCACGGGATCGAGTAATGCCCAATATTTTGTCTGGTAATATTATATAGTATGTAGTTGTTATAATGGAATGTTGAATTTGTGTAATTGAATAGGTAATTCTAAATTTATAAATGTAAGATAATATAGTCAATATTAATTATATTAAGCGAGATTAAATAAAGATTATGGCATAAGATATTAAATATATACTAATATAATTTGAGGGGTGCTGACAATTCGGCATATTGCAGTGACAATTTGTTTATACAAATAATATTATAGAAACATACCTGCAGAATTTTCTGTTGTCACAAAATTCTCCGTTGATGTTGTGGTTTGTACTTCTAACCAGTGGCTAATGGCTTAATATATAGACTAATGGTGTAGTTCTAGTTCTATAAAGATTTGTGGGTTAAAGTTCTATTAAGACTAATATTAGAATTAGATTAATTGTGTAGTTATTATAATATAATGATTCATGGTGTGGATGAACAATCAATATCCCAACATACTTCAATATTAGAATTAGACTAACGGAGAGTTATAATTCTATAAGGATAATGCCAAATATTTATATTCAAATAAATATTTAAAGTATATCAAGATAATATTATATTGAAGTTGTTATAATTGAATGTTGAATTTGTGTGGTTAAATAGGTAATTCTAAATTTACAAATGCAAGATAATATAGTCAATATTAATTATAATTGTATGGTAATATTGAAAACAAATATGGAAGATATCAAATAAAGATTATGACATAAGATATTAAATATATACTAATATAATTTGAGGGGATTCTTAAGGGGTTGCCGGTAATCCGGCATATTGTAGTGACAATTTGTTTATATACTAATATTTCAGAAAAACATGATAGGAGATTTACAAACATACCTGCAAAAATTATCCGTTGATGTTGTGCCTGATCGGACTATGTCTTAACACAGAATTCCCCGTTGATGTTGTGTTGCATAATAATTTGAGTTTGTACTTCTAACCAGTGGGCAATGAATTAATATATAGACTAATTGTGTAGTTATAATTCTATAAAGATTGGGTTAGAGTTCTAAGACTTTAATATTATAATTAGACTATTGGTGAGTTATAATTCTATAAGGATTTGTGGGTTAGAGTTCTATTAAGACATTAATATTAGAATTCTATAAGGATTTGTGTTTTTTTTTTAACGGAAGAGTTAACGGATAATCATATAATCTATCTATACTATAGTTAATCCATTTTCTTTTTGAAATAGTTAATATGGAGATCTTTATTAATTTTCAGACAATTATTAATATTTATTTCATTTTTTAATTGACCTAATTTCCGTGTCATTTATATTCTCAGTCAATTATTTTTTGCAATACATATCAATTAGTTAATTATTAATAACATATTCTTTTTTTTTTTAAATATTTCCAGTCAAATATTAATAATAGATTCCTTTTCCAATTTACATATACTATTGTTGAGACGGTCTGCCATTTCCTTTTTTATTTTGGTTAATTTGAGATCATTTTTAATTTCAATCAATCATTAATATTCACTTCATCTTTCAATTGACCTAATTTCCGTGCAATTTTTATTCTCAGTCAATTATTATTTTTAAATACATATCAATTAGTTAATTATTAATAACAGATTCTTTTTTAAATATTTTCAGTAAATTATTATTAACAAAATACTATACCAATTTACATATAATATTGTTTGGACGGTTTCTGACCATTTTTTTTGGTATTTAAGTCAGTTTATAATCATTATTAATTTCCAGTCAATTATTAATATTCATTTCCTATTTCAATTGACCTAAATTCTGTGCCGTTCTAATTCTCAATTAATAATTATTTTTTGTAATATTTGTTTTTAAACTATAATTTCACATATTAACATAGTGTGAATAAACAAATAAACAAATAAAACAAATGCATATTCAAAGTAATGTAAAATTATGCAATCTTACAATTTAAACAAAATACACATTTAAAATGATAAATATAAAGCATAACAAAAATATTGAAATGACCAGGAACAAATGCCTGTAAAATGTCAACCATCAATAATAGGAACAATGTTTAATGCCCAAAGGCAAAAATGACTAGACTCTCAACAGGAAAACATTTTATTAATAATTTCAATACAGCTTCTCAACATTTACAACTCTTAACAGATCCACCATCCTTTGCATCACATTACATTTTTAATAATTTTAATTTAATAATATTATACCTTAATTATAAAACTTCTGCCTAATAATTTTAGTATTAAATATCATACAATAATTAGTATAAACAATGTTTAATAATTGACAAATTCTATTAGGCAATAAAAATTACTATTATAAAATCATTTGTAATATGGACACATTATTTCTAATTATTTTGGTTTAATAATATTATGTATAAAAAATCGAAATAATACTTTTAGTACTATTGAATATTGATTGACTAACAATTATCTTAATTATTAAGGCAATTAATATGTATTTAACTTTAAAACGTTTTCAAATATATGATTTATACATAATAGCATAGAATCAATTAGTAAGACAATTGTATTAGGTAATCTAATTAATAATTTACTCTTTAAATTATATCCCCTTTTTAGTAATGAATATTTTCTTAAAGTATATATACATAGACTATGGTTATCAATATAAAATTAAAAGTATATATATATATATATATATATATATATATATATATATATATATATATATATATATATATATATATTATTAGTAAAAAATAAATTATACTTGTCTTAGTAATTAATTGTATTGTTACCTTTTTCGGTGTAATTATTATGGTAATTTAAAAATACATATATATTTTTATACTTAATGTATAATATTGTTGGCATGAATTAAATTATACTTATCTTAATATATAATTAATTTTTAATATAATTTCCTTATTTTTATTAAATGTAATTATTCTGATAATTTTTCTTTCATTCTTTTGTGTAATTATTATGGTAATTAGTTTTAATTTTCTTAATAAAATAACTTTTCTTTATCACTTTTTGATGGGATACTGTATGAGTTGGTAGAAAATATTTAAAAAATAAAAATACTTACAAATAAAAAATAATTTTAAAATATTTTATAACCCCTCATAACATGTGTAAATCATATATTTTTTAAAATATAATTTGATAAATACCATAAATTAATTAGTACAATATCATTTCTGTTTATAATAATTAAAGAAAAAATAAATAATTCAAATATGTGAACCAATGATTTCAAAATGAAATTAATATACAGTGACAAATGATTAGTTTTAATTTTCTTAATGAAATTATTTTTATTTATCAGTTTTTGATGGGTAACTAAGGGGGTGTTTGGGTTTCTGGAGAATATTTTAAAAATAAAAATAATTATTAATAAAAAATAATTTTAAAATATTATTTAACCCCTAAACATGAGAAAATTTTATATTTTTAAAAAAGATACAATTTGGTAAATATCATACATTAATTATTGCAATATCATTTATGTTTATAATGAGAATAATTAAAGAAAAAATAAATAATTCAAATATGTGTACCAATGAAATTAATATACAGTTACAAATAAATATAACATGACTTTATTACAATTTCGTATAACACCTCCATTGAAGCTTGAACTCACAACCTCCCACATGAGAATCCAACACGGGTTTCATCTGAGCACAAGATGCTTAGTATAGCATGATTAGATTTAATTTAATTAGTTTTAATTTCCTTAATAAAATGATTTTTCTTTATCAGTTTTTGATGAGAGACTAAGGTAGTGTTTGGGTTGCTGGAAAATATTTTAAAAATACAAATAATTTTAAAAGATTTTTAACCCATAAACATGCGAAAATTTTATATTTTTAAAAAAATACAATCTGATAAATATCATAAATTAATTATTGCAATATCATTTATGTTTACAATGAGGATAATTAATGAAAAAATAAATAATTTAAACATGTGAACCAATGATTTCAAAATGAAATTAATCTATCTATACTATTAATAAAAGTAAAATCCTCCTTTTCAACATTTCCGCTCAAATTAATATGAATATTAATAAATTAGTAAAAAATTAATAAAGCTTAATTGCTAACAATAATACATCTAATTGAGTAATTGACTAAAATGAAAAAAGAAATTGTCAGATCATTGCATTTTACTTAAAAATGGAACAAAAACTAAAAATTGAACGTAAATATTTCAATAATAATATTGTACATTATCAAATAGTAAATACATATTTTAAACAATATAAAGTTAAATTAAAAATAGAACGAAAATATTTCAATAAAAATATTATACATCATCAATTAAAAATGGAACGGAAATTAGGTAAAAATACCACTGCTTGTAATATTTTTTTTTTTGAATACTTGCATCTAATATTCTAATTGACTAATTGAGTGGAAATAAAAAAGAATAATTAGCTGAAAATGAATCTGATATTAATTAACTGAAAATAAATAATAAAAAAAAAGAATAATTATTGACTGAAAATGAATATGATATTACTAATTGACTGAAAATAGAAAAAGGATCACTAATTGATGATATTCTACCATTATATATTTTCACCCGAGTCACCCATCTTGATGGACTGAAGGTGTTAGCTCTAGACGAAGATGGACAAAATTGTATTGCTATTACCAATGTTGTCTACAAAGAGATTTCAATAATGTGTAAATACATTTAGTGATATTGTGTTTTTTAAATGACAAAATTACTATATATCTAGACAAAAAATATATTTTCC